TCCGAGTATAGTGGTTTTGCCAGGTTTAGTCCTAAACTTTCAAATTGACTTTCTGTGTTCGTTCGACTTTCAAATTGTTACCATCCGTAGTCCAAGTTAGCCATTGATGATCCTTCAATTATAAAATTTTAACCAGCTATGGTCCTTCTATGAGGATCACGGTTGGTTAAATTTTGAAAGTTGAAGGACCATGGATGGTTAAATTGGACCACAAATGACAACAATTTGAAAGTCAAAGGATCACTGGTGAACAATTTGAAAGTTCAGGACTAAACGTGACAAAAGCAATATACTCGGAGGACATATATATATATATATATATATATATATATATATATATATATATATATATATATATATATATATATATGAGACGGGTTAGGTGTAGATGTTTCCTTAGGTGAAAAATAAGGTTTAATCTCTTTCATTGATTTAGTCTAGATCAAGGGTCTAAAATAGAGATTTAAAAAAAAAAAAAAACTTAGTGACATTATGATAATTTTGTGTAAGTTAATTTTTTTTTTTAATCTTCTAGTGCATTATTTTTCCTTCTTGCAGAGCTCAATGTTGTACCCTTTAGAGCACAATGTTGTGCCTTCCTAAGCTCACTGATATATCTTTCAGAGCACACTGATGTGTTTTCTAGTGAACATCAGGGCCGGCCCAGAGGGGCGGGCAACATGGGCACCCGCCCAGGGCCCAATGTTGAAAGGGGCCCCCTAATTTGAAATTTTATTTTTTGATAAAGTTAAGAGAATTTTTTTTTTCTTGCATGAGCAGAGATTTGAACCAACAACTTCAAAATTATTACTTAACATTAAATCCACTTAACCATTACAATCATTTAATATAATAATTCAATTAATAGATACTCCATATATATTAGAGAATATTATATTAATTTATTAATAAACTTCATATAGGGACCCAAAGTTTGAATGAACAGTATTCCGAGATTAGTCCAACTAATTTTATTTTAAAATAAAGTTTTTAAAAAATTATATGTCGATAAAATTCAAAGTCTTTTGAACTATACATACATATATATATATATATATATATATATATATATATATATATATAAACATTTATTTTATTATAAGAGAAAGAAGATATTATCCACATATACAAGCTACTACACCTCCACTAAGGTTTGAACCCACCACCTCTTACATAAGAGAACAACTTGATACCATTGGACCACAAAATCCTTGGTTATATATATAAACATTTTAACTTTGTATATTAAGGGCCCTTGTTTTTACTTTGCCCCGGGCCTATAAAATGATATGACCGGCCCTGGTGAACATTGTTGAATTTAGTCTTAAAGTTAGATTAGTTTTTTTTTTTTCGGCTATTAACTCTATTACATTGTAGTATATGTTCATCTATACTTTTCTCAACCTATTGAAGCACAAAGAGTCAACACCACCTCCACTAAGGCTCGATCTCATGACCCTCCCATATGAGAGAGCCACTACATGCCATCTGAGCACAATGTGCTTGGCAAAGTTAGATTAGTTTAATTTATCTCTTCTTAGTAAGGTAGGTCATGAACAGATGATATAGTCCAGTGACTAGAAACATACGATATTATATAAAATAAAAAAATAAAAAATTTAAACATGCATGTAAACAAAAACATAAGAAAATGGCCTTGTCAATAAATCAGCCATCATTATTCTATGGACCATGGTCCACACATTTGTATAAACCATAAATAAAAATGATATTCTTAATATATAAAAAGTACATTAATTGTATACATAAAATGCATTATTTGAAAGTTCATAATTTTTTTTTATATATTGTCAAATAATGTACATTCAGTACGCAAATAATATATATTTAATATATTAAAAATATATATTACATTAATGATCTACACAACTACGTTAATTGTGGTACACACAATAATTTGCCATGAATTAGTGTATCGCAAAATACCCAAGAAACACGACGTGGACACCTGCAAATTAAAACAGAACTGTACGTAAAACAACAAACAAAAATTTCTTTGGTTTGGTTTGAGAGAATCGAAACTCTCAAATCTCCCAAGATTTTTAATTTCATGAATTCTGAAAAGAACATTGAAAATTGTCAAACAATAATGCCCTTAGAATTTCCAGCAACTGAATTGATTAGCCTCCAAATAGCAAACAATAGATTGTGGCAGATAGAACCAAAAAGAACCGATCGTTATACCCGGCACCACGGCGCACATAGCACTGTGCGCTCCGCGCATCTCAAAACGACGTCGTTTTAGTAAGTTATGTCGGGAGTTGATGTGATTATGTGTATTTGTTTATACAATTATGTTTATTTGTTTATACACTTATGTGTATTTGTTTATACAATTATGTACATTTATGTATACAATTTTGTATATTCTAGTATAAAATTATGTATATTTTTTAACATTGAATTTTTTTTTAAGGATAATTAACCGCCAAACACTGAGTAGCAAAATTAAAAAAAAAAATCTGAAACGACGCCGTTTTGTATCAAAGCGCACAATGCAATGCGCACCCTGGTGCACGATATAAATTGCCAAAAAGAACAATCTCCCTATGGGCCGAAAAGAACAAGACAAATTTTCATTTTGGGCCGGAAATTGAGCTTTGCCCACTCTTGCAGTTTATATCTAATTTCTATTTTTGGCATAAAAGGTGATTAAAATAATGTATTCAAAACTGATTTTGGGCCACTTTTAATGTGAACCATGGTCCATATAAACATATAGTAGCATGGACCATACAGTAAAACAATATCGTTTGATTTTAATTTTTTTTTAAAAAAAAATTGGTACCATTTTTCTAGTTCGTTACCATTGTATATGCTATGTTTTTTAGTTTAATCGTTATAATAACGTTAAAGTATCATTAAATTACGTCGAATGCCTCTACTATCCAATTCTATTTTATATACACGATAGATTTATTATAAAAACACCTTAAGTATCGTTTTAATTCTACTACAGGTTCATTTTATTTGAGAATATGTGTGTGTGTAATTCTACTACAGGTTCATTTTATTTGACAGTGTGTGTGTGTGTGTGTGTGTGTTAAGACGTCAAGGAGAGGAAGGTGGGTTGGCCAAGCCGTCGGTGACCGGCGGCAGGTCTGATGGGGCCGCTGGCCGACACGTGCCTAGCGTCCCTGAGCTTCCACCCATGGCCCAGGTTCTTGGGGTGGTGGCAGGGGGGGGGGGGAGAGGGGGAGGGGGGTGCAGTGCGGTGCCGTGTGGCGGTATGGCGTGGGGATACGGTTTGACGTGGTTCGTGGGTTTACGAGCATGGGCTACGTGGATGGTGGTGGAGAAAGTGGATCAAGAGCAGTACACGTGGACACACAAGGATAGACTATTTTCATCATGTGAGTCCTCAAAAAATGTTACATAAAAAAAAAATATGATGACATTTTCTTAATTATCACCAACTGTATACTGTGCACTTCTCTGAATTTTTCATAAATGCACACATTATGTTGTTAAAAAGTGCACATTAAAGTATTAAAAATTGTACTTTGCAAAAGGCGAATTTTAATTTAAACACTATATTGTGTACTTCTCAAGATTTTCCGAAAATGCACATTATATTGTTAAAAATACACTATAAAGTATTACAAATGCACATTTAGTATTAAAATTTGCACTTTACAAAATTTGAAAGTACAGTGCATTTAGAGTTTGAACTTTAGAGTTTATGACTAATTTTTTTTTTTTTGTTTAATTTTATTTGGTTGATGGGTTCATTTTTTTTTTTACTGCTTATGGTTAATATTTACAATTTAAATTAAAAATTAGATTTTCCGTTGATATCATGAAAAGTTATCCAAAAATGCACATTATGTTGTTAAAAGGTGCACAGTATAGTGTTAAATTAAACGTTGCAAGGTAAATGATAGTACTAATTCCCCCGTATAGAAGGGTGTTTGTACTGGATGAATATGTATATGTACAAACATGAGGAAGAACACAAGAAAATAGCTCAAAATCCCTCTTTTATTAAATGTTGTGTTGTTCTTTCTTTGTTCTTGGCATGAAGAGAGAAAGAGGAGAGAAAGAGAGGGAGAGCCGAGAGATGGCCAGAAATGGCCTCCCTGCCCCAAAGGGCTTTAGGCCCTTTTAAAGGCCTAAGGTGGTGAGTTTGACCCATCTCGGGTCTGACCTGTCACCTTTGACCCCGACCCGTAGATCAAGACCCGAACCGCGAGACTCCGACCCGACTGTAAGTGATGGCACGGACCCGGGGTATATAACTTATCAGTAAAGGTAGTGATAATTATAATAATGTCACCGTGTTTTTTAAACATTTGATTTTATCAGTCTAGTTTTTACAGGTGTAAGAATGAAATTGATTCTTAATTTTCTATTAAGAACGTGCTCTCGTGCATGAGATCCTAACCCTGTGTGTGTGAACACCTCCTCATGTAAAAAAGTATGGACACATTTGCACCCTCAATCTTCTGTTATGATCTTATCATTACTAACCTCTCAAGTTTACAATAATTATAAAATGTGCTACGCTCTTTAAAGTTTTCAATAACTATAAAATTGACCTCATGTTTTCTTTTACTAAAATTCTCAACCATTGATGAACCATAATGGATGGTTGGGATTAGTCCCCACTTTTTATAGAAGGACCATGTTCTCCTCATTTGATCTTACCCCTATATATAGAGGAGGGTTCAAGTGAGAACATCTCCCCATATAAAAAGTGTGGACATATTTGCACCCTCCATCTTCAGAAATCAAATGTTATATATATACACACGCGTACGTACACACATGCAAAATTTTTGTGGGGTCCATTAAATAGGAAAGGAGAGAAAGAACCAGCATAACATGCATGTGTGGGAAATGCTGCGCCCAGTTGGGTGCGTAAAGAATTTGTTTATTTATTTATTCTACTTTTTTTTTTTCAGAATTTATTTATTATTATTTTTTTGTCTCGTTTTTTTTTTTTTTTTTTTTTTTTTTTTTTTTTTTTTTTTCTTCTCTCTTCCCCCTCTTTTCTACATGGAATTAAAAAAAAAAATCATCAAAAAATTCACACCTATGAGATTGCCCTAAATTTAGTCCACAAATAAATGGTGACAATAATACATTATAACATTATTATAATACATCCGAACGTATTAAACATCATGCAGAATTATATCTGTGCATGCATGATGCATGGATTATTGTATACACACTACGTCCATAGTGGTGGGGATGGATTTCATTATGTATTTATATATGCCAACATTCTCACATTGCATGCATGCATATATGCTCCCAGTAAGCTACATAATTAATTATTGGGATTGGGTTTGTGAAAGCTGATTTTGACATATTTATTTTAGAAATGGAAGATGAGAAGTAGTAATTAATTAACGCCTTCTGGCCGCAGTTTCCCTCTGGCAATTGAAGAAGACGGCAGCCACAGGGGCGGCGAGGTCGTTGTCGTCGCTAAATTTGCGGCTGTTGAATCGGTCACGTGACAATGGTGCGTTCACTCCCATTCCCAGCCTTCTCTTTTGCTTGTAAAGCACAAACACAAATCTGTGAATCCCAATATTTGGCCTCGGCATCTCATAGCTCACTATTTCCCTTCCTATATATATATATATATATAATGCAACACATCACACATATATACTAACCGAATTACTTTCTTTTCTTGCTGTTTTTTTTTTTTTTTTAAAAAAAATTTATTATATATATAGAGTTAATTATCATGTAATGTATATATATACCAAATGAGGAATCCGTTGTGCCTGGAATGTCTGTGACTATCCTGAAACAGGAGTAATTTTATAATTATTGAAAACTTTAAAGATTTAATATATAAGAAGATAGGCAATTTTAATTTAATTTGCAGCACAAACCAGTGTAGGTGCTCCCTAAGGTATGGATCACTAGGGCCGGGAACATCAGGGTCTGTCATAATCTGTTGAACAAAAATCAAAGTTTTAATAAGAAATTATAACACAAGAAAAATCAAAGTCTTAATAGGGTTAGAGCTGTCAAAACAGACGTCTGCCGGGCTGACCCGTCCCGCCCTTATTTAAGTATGGGTGGGTTTCGAAAATAACAACTTGCTCGATTTTTTTTGGCTTGTTCAGTCCCGCCAGCCCGTATTGAAAGCTTTGAGTAGAATACCTACCAGTGTAAAAAAGGATCTCATATCACCTCCATGAACCTCAACCCTAGGTCTAGTGGTGACAGAGGATGGAAAAAACTCATGGCCATTGTGGACATGCTTGTTTGGGTTGTAAATTACACACATCTTAACACTTGGGGAGAAACAGTCTATCACATCCCCAACTACTCTTCCTATCACAAGGGAATCTGACATTCTTGCCATTATATATATTAATTGATAATATATATATTGTGCAAAAGATCTTCAAGAATTAATGAACACTACTAACAAGACTAGCTCTTCTGCAGATTTGTGTTCTGGAATTCAAGAAGATCTTTTATTGCAAAGATCAGAGATCTACAAACCTTATATTTATATTGCTAATAACCTACATGCACCTATGTATAAAGGAGAGTTATGCATTGGGTGCCTGATAGACTATTAAGATATACTTAGTTTAGTTTATAGGTAGATGTGTTAGCCGATAGGACCAAATCCAATATTTTACTATAGAACATGATGCTAACTCTTATATAAATATAATGAAATAAAGTTACACATTTACTAATAGAATTTTTTACACTTTTGGTCCCACGACTATGGTGTCACTAACAACTTTCATTCACGACTTTTAAAATTTATAAAATTAGTTCACGACTATGACTTTCTTAGCAAATTTGGTCCTTCCGATGCATTTTCAGTTCAATTTTTGTCGAAAATTTTTACTCTCCATTTTAACATAGGTAATATTGTCTTTTCCATCTCACAAACTAATGACATAAATAAATAAATAAACATCTAAATTTTTTTGGCATTTAGTGGCACCAAGTTGTACTCCAATATGGGAGGTTGTGGGTTCGAGACTCGGTGGAGGCGGTATTGACTCTTTGTGTTTCAGTAGGTTGAGAAAGTAGTTATGAACAAATACTGCATCCTAACAGAGTCAGTAGCACTAAAAAAATGAAAATTATAATTTTTGCATTATTTATTGAATTGTGCATTAAATTTTATCTTGATTGAGTATTTAAGCTACTAGATAAGAGTAATTTATTTATCACTTTACATATAGAAATTTTAAGTTAAAAGCCTAAAAGATAGGAAATGCCAATTCCCTGGCGCTTTCTTCCTCTTGACTATATTGGTTTTGCACTCACCTTTCCCCCTATAAGCTATACCTAGAGAATATATATATATCTAATTAATTAATTTTTTCTTTAGAAAGGAAGAATGATACTCCGTATAAAAGTCTTATTTTTTTTTTTTTTTGAAGTCTACTGACTCTATTACATTACATTGTAGTATATATCTGAACCTGTTGAAGCACAAAGAGTCAACACCGCCTCTACTGGGACTCAATCTCATGACCGTTCATATGAGAGAATCACTACACGCCATCTGAGCAAAATGTGTTTGACCGGGCTTAACTACTGAAGTGCATATTTAAGGGAATTTGAATAATTAATTAATAATTTCGATTTCACCCCAATATAAATCTATATTCTATATATATATAAAAGTAAAATCCTCTTAACAAATTTTTCCCCCAAAACTTTTGTAGTAAAACTTATTTGGTAAGTAAATGTCAAATGGAAAATAAATAATAATAAAAATAATAATAATAATAATAATAATAATAATAATAATAATAATAATATATTACCTTAAATAAATAAATTATTATACTTTCCCTTAAATAAATAAATTATTATACTTTCCTTTTGAATTAGTATTTTGTACTTATAAATACAATGGCTTCTTCAATCAAAGAATCTCAGACTCATCTCTCTGCTTTCTTTTTGTATGAATTTTTTACATTTTTCTAACTATATTCTCACGTACTTCAATATGTTTTGCAGTTTATATCATCTGGTATAAGTTTGAAGATACTTAAGGAGGCTCTGCTTTAACAAAAGGAAATTGAGGATGAAGAGCATTTGTAACAGAACCCTATTGGTTTAGTTTTTATGGAAGATTGTAGAGATGCGATCGAGGATGATAAAGACGGTAATTTTGATAATTTTGTAAGATTTTCTGAAACTTAGAGTTAATATGTTGACTTCGAGATTTGTACATGTCATTCAAGTTTCTATGTTTTTTTTTTTACCAAGCAGAGTTCATTTTACAGCATTTTTATAATTTATATATATATATATATATATATATATATATATATATATATATATATCACAACTTGAGTAGAGTGTTTGTTTAACCTATTAAAAATCTCGCTATATTTAATTTTTTCTAAATTTTTGTAAAACACAAAAATAATGATTATTTAAAAAAGAAGAAATAAATAACAAATACAATTTCAGATTTTGTGTTACTCCATTCACATATTAGTATAAATAAATAAATAAGTAATAAAATAAAATACAAAGGAAATATAAATTTTTAACCAAAAATTTAATTAGAGAAACCTCCCAAAAAAATCCACGTTGTACTGAACCCAAATAAAAAAATACTGGCAATGGCACAATCATAAGGATCAAAGGGAACAATGGAAGACCCAGAAATCCAGACATCACTGATGTACCGAACGGTGATGAGAGACTCGGAAATAGGAATACCATTATGAATGAAAACGGAGATTTTCTTGACACCCGAATTTAGTTTAAGGAGAAGTTTACTCCTGAGTACAAATGTCTCCTCAATGGATTTTGTATGGTCATATAGAGTGTTCAAAATAGCACAATATTGAAATTATAATATGGTAAGAGATCACAAAAAAGGTAAAACTTTCAAATTTTCAGTTAATACAAAAAATGTTATAATCGCCGAAAATATATATCTTTAACTTTAGACAAAAATTAAAAACGAAATCATAAACAATTTTAATAATTGACTGTTTCATTTCTATGTTTCTTGAAAAATGATGGGCATGAACAGGCTGACTCATCGTGAAATATAGTAATTAATGAATTATCATTAAAATTAGTATAGTAATGAAAGAATTATCATTTGTATGTTGACATTTTCCCCCGTTTATTACCATTCAAATGTTTGATACCAAAAATTATACTATATAAACACAAAATATGCATATATGGTAAATATGCAATTTATATATATATATATATATGCCCCTAAGTTTTGGGGATAAACTTGGTTAGGAGGATTTTACTTTTAATTATATATAGATATAGATTATTCTCATAATTTTTCTTTCCTTTTGTGTTATTATTATGGTAATTTTATGGTAATGTATTTAAATATTGGAAGAAAACAAATGTTATAATTAATGAAATTATTGTGGTAATTGCCACAATATTTGGTAATTATAATTAATATAATTACTGAAATTGAGAAATATATGATTTCTTCCATGGACATATTTGTGACAATTTCATTAAATTATAATTAATAAAATATAAAATATAATTAAAGAAATGAAATTATAAAATTAACAAAACATGAATATTTATAATTTTTTTAAAATATACATACATATACTCTTTAAATTTCTAAATATAATTTTTTAAGTATAAATTTATCAATATAAATTATAATTAATGAAATTATATTATAGGACTTTCCTATACACATATTAATAAATATTATGTGTATATACAAAGTATTATACAAAATATAAGGATATGCGTCCGATTAAAATATTTATTTATTCATACAAAATTTAGAATTTATATTTTTTATTGATTTCTAAGTACAATTCTCTTAGTTTTTATTATTCATATTTTTAAATTTCATATATAGATATGAAATTCAATTTGAAATAAATTAACTTAATTATATGAATTTTTTATATAAATTTATCTAAATATGTACATGATTAGAGAATATATTAACCATACAAAATTTAAATTTTAATTTTGTATGTTATGAAATAGATACTTGACTAAATATATAAAAGTCCAACTATATTATTATATTGTACATTTTAATATCTTTTTATTTTTTCTATTTTTATTTTAAATTCATAATAACAAAAATAAAATTTCGTGCAATGTATGGATAAAACACTATATTTAAAAAATACAATTTGATAAATATCATAAATTAATTAGTAAAATATCATTTATGTTTATAATAATTAAATAAAAAATAAATAATTCAACTATGTGAACCAATAATAATAATAATAATAATAATAATAATAATAATAATAATAATAATAATAATAATAATAATAATAATTGGTAATATTATTGTTCAATATAATATTTAAAAAAAAACTTATTTTAATTGGTAATGTATATTCTATATTAATCTATATTTATATTCTATATTAATTAATAAAAACAAATCATCCTTTACAAGCTCCCGCCTAAACAATTAATAATAATATAAAAAATGAAAAAGAATGGAAGGAAGCCGTACCCCCCAAACAATTAATAATAATATTGGAAAGAAAATTAATAATAATATGAAAGTATGGAAAACAATGGAAGGAAATATTATTCATGTGAATGTTTTCTACACTCTGAAAAATGAAAAAGAATCAATAAGCAGTATAAGGAAAATAATCATGAAGATATTTTACTATTAATCTTTTACGGAAGATTTTGCGTAAAAAATAGAAAACGAATTGGTTATTACTAATTTAGTCTTATTTTACTATTAATCTTTATGAAAAATTCTGCGTAAAAAAATGTAATAAAATCGGTTATTAATAATTTAGCTTAATTTTACTATATTAATCTTTAAGAAAAATTATGCGTAAAAAATGTAATAGAATCGGTTATTAATAATTTAGTTTTATTTTACTATTAATCTTTAAGGAAGATTTTGTTAAAAAATAAAATAGAATTAATTATTAATAATTTAAATTAAAATTAAAGTACATATATTTTCCTATCCGTAATACAATTTTACTTACCGTTTTACAAAATCTTCAAATAATAATTGGTAATATTATTGTTCAATTATAATAAAAACTTTAATTTTAATTGGTAGTCTATATTCTATATTAATTAATAAAAACAATATCCTCATTTACAAGTTCCCGCCTAAACAATTAATAATAATATGAAAAAATAGAAATGAATGTAAGGAAACCGTAGGCCAAAACAATATAGAATAATATTGGGAAGGAAATTAATAATAATATGGAAAAATAGAAATGAATGAAAGAAAATGTCAACCATGTGAATTTTTTCTACACTTGAAAAATGGAAAAGAATCAATAAGCAGTATAAGAAAAAGAATCATTAAGATACTATTAATCTTTTAGGAAAGATTTTGCATAAAAAATTGAATATAATTGATTATTAATAATTTAGCCTGATTTTACTATTAATCTTTAAGAAAAATTTTGCGTAAAAAAATGTAATAGAATCGGTTATTAATAAGTTAGCTTTATTTTACTATTAATCTTTAAGGAATATTTTGCTTAAAAAATGAAAT